AGTGTGTTTAAAGTGGTGAAATAGCCACTTGAAATGTCCGAATTTTGCGAATTTTTGAACTTTGAGGTCGAATATCTCCTAAACTAAGCGTTTGCGGTACGTATTTTTTGATCAGGAGAACGTCCTCTTTTAAACAGTACCTTCAAATCGCGGCGCCAAAGAAATCGGAGTTGTGCTTAGAGATCACCATAAATATTAATCGATTGTCGTTTTTTTATATTTTGTAAGCAACTCAAACACGAAAAGGTTAAAAATAAATAAATTTTCCGTAAATTTCGTTAGTATTATGAAACAAAGCCAACATATATTTTTATTTCTATTGATAGTTATCTTTTTTGACTATGTTATAGAAAATGTATTATTTGTTATCGACATATTTACTTTCATTCAAGTATAAAAACATCTCTGAATAATGAAATGTAATAGAGTTTGTGACTTACAGAATAGCAAAATCGTCTCAAGTCTCAAAAATTGTCTCTGTCAAATTTAGAGACTTGATACTGTACAGTACAGAATCGCTCGGATAGATTTTATCTTGTCGAGATGCCCCTTAGAAAAGGCTGGTAATTTTATATCAATCGATTAATTTTCCTTCTGTCATCGATTTTTATATTTTTCAATTGCAACTTGTAATTTATCTATGCTTATAAGTCGGCTATTACACGAAGCAACTTTTGTTGCGGCAACTCTTGGTTTATAGGCGAGGGGGCGACGAGGATAGGAGAATCGCGCCGAGTTTCCAGTGTTCAGAAACTCGCTTTGAGTTCTTTTCCGTAACAGTTCGTTGCGACGTTTTTCTGCATTCGTGTTCTTTCATTCGTAGTACATAGTTGCATTTGCGTGTATTATTTTGAAATTAATATTTTGAATATATTTAAAAAATTTTATTTCATATTTTGGTACGTAATTTGCAAATATGTATACATATATACATAATGTAATATAAATATTTTAGAAAATGGAGTATGACGAAAAAATCGAATTAATTAAAGATATTGTGAAATGTATGGAGGAAGTTATACAAATTGATTCAGACGATAGTGAAGATCTGTTATATAACCTTTGTTTTAATTTTGCATTATAAATAAAATGTATTCCTTAATTGAAAGAACTGATTAATATATGTGACAGAGTGGCCCAAATACCAAATACAATGGGTTAAAGTAAAGAGTTGACAATGAGTTAAAGTAAAGTGAAAGAGAATTAGCAAAAACCTCGCACAGAATTGCGCAACCCAAGTTGCTCGTGTGAATGCAATTGGCAACAGCAAAATAGAATCGCCCGAGAATCAGCAACAAAAGTTGCTTCGTGTAATAGCCGACTAAGCTGTGTATGATGAAACGCAAATCGCTTAGTAGTACTAGAGGCAAATCTTACTTTACATGATAAGCAAATGCCAATAACAAAAAGAATAGCAACTAAATGGAGAGATTCGGCAAGTTTAATTATTTTGGCGAAGAATGGAAACACAAAAGATTTTGGTTGCGATTACCGAGTAAATATAGACAAATTTTAATTTTATTATATTCTACAAAAACAAATTCCAGGTGTTATTATTTAATCGTGCTGAAAAGTCAACATTCTATCCTAACTCTGCCGTTTTTCCTGGAGGAGTACATGAAAAAGGTGACGCTTCACCATTGTGGCTCAGTTATATCAAAAGCTTTGGCCAAAAAACAAACCTAAATTTATTTCAATGTAATTCACCGCGGCCTGCTATATTTACTAATCAACTGAATGGTCAAATTCAAAGGTAAACATTAATGCGTTTAAAACTGTCTTGGTTTAATATGGTTTTATTTGATAATCAGAGAGTTTTCATTGCGTATAACTGCTGTACGAGAAACATTTGAGGAGACTGGAATACTTCTTTGTAAAAAACATTTTTCTGGTGTAAAGGAATTGTCCAATAATTATAGCCACAGTTTTGAAGACTTTGACCGACCATTTTGGCAGCATCTAGTACATAAGGACCATACCCAGTTTTTTACACTCTGTAAGGTCTTAGAAGTGATCCCAGATTTATGGTCGTTATTTGAATGGACAGCATGGCTCACACCAGCAACATTTAAAAAGAGGTGATAAGGTCTATATTTAATAACAGCATTCAAACAAATGGTATCCCCAGCGCTTGTTAATACCTCTTTTACGGTTTTTAATTCCACTCTTTTATTAAAAAGCAGAGCAATTTCAGATCAGTAATATCATTTTTAGGTATTAGAAACACCAACTATTTTCAGTCGAAGTGTCATTGTATTGCCAACTTAAGGGGTGATTATTTTGACTATTTGACCTTCTGAAATCTAAGCGAATAACCAAAATGATTGGCACCATTCCCATTACTTTGGCGGATGGCTAAATAAAAACCGAATTTCCGTATAAATGGGGTATGTGCGGATAGGGCAGCTTCTCCAGAGGAGGAATATCCAAAAATAATATAAAAATTACTTATACTTTTTAAAATTTTCACGATTAAAAGTTTAAAAATATGCACTAATAACATATGGTATTTCTCCATCTTCCATTAAATTTATCCACACTTTTCACTCTATATTTAATATACAGTGTAAATATTGAAATAAGTTCAAATTTTAATTATTTTTTTTTTAATATTAATACCCAACGATTACCCTCCTCCCGCCCAACCGACGCGCGGGGCGCAATCGGCGAACGAGCAGAATTAGCCGAGTCACAAAAGGAAAGAGAGTTTTAAGCGTAGCGATCTTAAGCTGCTCAGTTACAGAAACAAAAATTTCAAAAGCCAAAATTAAGAATTAGATTAAAGTTTATAAAGTTTAATCGTTACTTGTTAAGAGTAGATGAAATATTTTTTTTTAATGGTAAAGAGAGAATCTGTTAGATCAAATGTGCTGGAATGAGAATTGAAATCGTGACATATACGGAGGAATGGTTCGTTTAACTCGAAATTTGTTCTAGAAAAATGTAAAAGAAAATGTTTAAATTGCCTGGTAGAGCGAGCGGGAACGTTAAAATTAATATCAGACAAGAGAGATGGGCTACAGACTGACCCATTGATGAGTTTTACAAGAAATATTATACCAAGCATTTCCCTACGACTAGCGAGTGTAGGGAGAATCCCAATGCAAATGATTTAAGGCAAAAAGTAAAAATTGTTTTTGAACGGACTCTATTTTCTCAGAACGAACTAGATAACAGGGGTTCCATACAACGGAAGCGTAATCTAATATAGGCCTCACCAAAGATGTAAAAAGAATTTTCGTGGTAAGCGGATCTCTAAATTCTTTAGACCAACGTTTAACAAAACTTAGAGCACCTTTAGCTTTAAAAACCATGGAAGATGTGTGAAGATTAAAATTGAGTTTGGGGTTCATAGTTACTCCCAAGTCAACAAAACTKCATACTTGCTCCAACCKWAAGTTTTGTATTACGTATGAAGTAGGGTCTACAGATCTACGTGAAAAGCACATCATTTTACATTTTTTAAGATTCAATGGCAAGTCATTTCTATCACACCAAGAAACTAGTTATTTAAATCTGTTTGCAACTGACATCTTTTACTATTTGAGGTGAATGATTTAAAAAATTTTACATCGKCAGCATATAATAAAACGTTTGAAAACTTAACAACAGATGATATGTCGTTAATAAATAACAAGAACAGAATTGGACCAAGATGGCTACCTTGAGGAACACCTGAAGGAACATTGATTATGTCGGAAAGAGTATCGTTAAATATGACTTGTTGAATTCTATTACTAAGATAAGAAGCAACCCATTTTAGAAATATTGGTTGAAAACCAAGAAGATCAAGTTTATTCAAAAGAATTGAGTGGCTTACTTTATCAAAAGATTTACTAAAATCTGTGTATATAACATCAGTATTCTTATTCTCCCTAAAGCCCGTTGATACATGTGATACAAATTCAAGCAAGTTATTGTGGATTTCCCTTTTTGAAAACCGTGCTGAGAACAAGAAAATAGTGGACGGATCCGGAGCATAGATTAGCTCTAAGAACTTACCAAACTCGTTCGAGATTAAATTAATGTGGTTAAGACCAAACTCCGACATTTTATCTAAGAACTCGTTAAAACATAAGCGAGTACTAATAGGAATGGTGTAGTCATCAATAGATTTCCATGATACGGGCGGTAAATTGAAATCGCCCAAAACAATCATGGAATCAGTATTATTGGCCATTGAGAAAACATTATTTATTAATGAAGCATGCTGCATATGTCCGAGTGAGGCGGTATATAAGACAAAGTTAAGTAGATATAGCCACTATTAGCGCAAATACGAATGCACCTAAATTATATGAAGTCTGCATGCGAAACATCGACTTCTTCAGATGGAATTGAAGAATGAACAGCAAACAAGACACCTCCTCCTTTCTTGTTCTGTCGGTCAAATCTAAAGATTTCAAATTCRCTATTGAATATTTCACTATCAAAAATGTGGGGTTTTAACCAAGTTTCTGTGAAATCAATGATTTTAAAATTATAATTAACGCTATTTGAATACAGATCGGAGAGTTTTCTATTAAGGCCTCTTACATTTTGATAATAAATACTCATTATTGCTAATCAGTTYTTTGCACCAACGGGTTTACTTGGCATTTTACTGACAACTGCAGGGGATTTAAAACGTTTATGCTCGAATTCGCGCACAAAGACCCCAGATGGCCAGAATGAGTTGTCAAGAGCCAATTGAAAATTGTCAGCGGATATGTCGATCTTGAAAGRTGAAATATCCCTGTCATATTTGAAATTAAATTTTCGGATGTCTGCATCTTCCGACTTTAGTTTAGACGAGATACAACTCTTTATGTCATCGGCGGTGGTATCCGCAGCAAGTCTTGAGATAAATATTAATTTTTTCCGCGGTATTACAATTAAACTTTTACTACCTGACTTACAGTTATTTGGAAGCGGATCCAGAGAAGGTTTTTGCTTACCATGCTCAGTAACAGCTTTCTCTGTATTCTGAGCATATGAGACTTTCTCTAGTTGTGGACAAGGGGAAGACAGATTTATGAGGTCAATATTGGGTGGAGGTATTCTTTTTAAGGAAGAAGCAGTGGTCTCTTCATCAGACGGACGTTTACGTTTATTGGAAGGGTTTGGATTCTCTTCCTGGTCATTTAGACATTTAAATGATTGAAACAATGTTTCATAATGCCTAAATTTATTTGTAAGGGTTTCAAGCTCCCGGCCAATCTCCTTGAAATTATTGCGCGCCGGCTTAAAAACTTTAAATAAATCAATTTCAGTTGGTCTGTATTTAATGCAAGACCAGCGCAAGCCCTTACTGTCAAGTTGTTCTCGACTTCATATCTTCCGTATGCCATCTTCTTTACAAATCTATATGGCCCGAAGAATTTTCCTTTAAGCCTCGGGTAAAAATAGCATCCTCGGATTTCGTTGATAAAATGGTGTCACTGGAAAGGCGACGTTCTCCAGATCACGAATATGTATATAAATAGTGGCCGCTGACTTATAGTTTTAAAGATATTTGCGTTTAAAGTTAAAAAATTTACAACTTTTAAATTGATATTTTATTTATTGTGAATAACTTTTTCACTTATATTATGCACTTTTCACTTACTAACACTTCACTTTGACGTTTTTGTATATAAAATTATTTAAAATTTATTGCAAATGAAGTTTTATTACAATTATTATGTTTTAGGTTAATTCACTGCATTTGCACAACAAGAATAGGGTTGCAAGTTTTATTACAATTATTATGTTTTAGGTTAATTCACTGCATTTGCACAACAAGAATAGGGTTGCATACTAGCAAAAAAATGGTATTGCCATATCTGCCTAGTTGTCAAGAAAAGAAAAGAATTTTTTTCTTTTCAATAAAATATCAATTTGAATAAATGAAAATATTTAAAAATCACTAACCACACTTGCTGATTGTTTCGCCAAATTTAAAAGTAAAAGCGAAGCAAAAAATGAAACAGTACTTAGTTGGAAAACTAACAGTACAATTGTTCCTAGAATTATTCCCGAGTTATAGCCTCCACGGTATTGCAACTTTTTATAATGTTCAGAGTTATTTCGCGTAGAACTCCCTTCTGCACTGGCGGCCTTCGGTCGCGCTTCAAAAAAAATAATCCTGGTCGATAGAAAACCGGGGTGTTCAGAGTTCTTTCGCGTCGAACTCCCTTCCGCACTGGAGGCCTTCGGTCGCGCTTCAAAAAAAATAATCCTGGTCGATCCAACACCGGAATGTTCAGAGTTCTTTCGCGTAGAACTCCCTTCTGCACTGGGGGCCTTCGGCCGCGCGTCAAAAAAAAAAAATAAAATCAAAAATAGTCCTGGCCGATCCAAAACCGGGGTGTTCAGAGTTCTTTCGCGTAGAACTCCCTTCTGTAACTTTTTGGTTATAAAAGATTGCTAAAGGTTTTTGGCGTTTTCCATTTATGTATTTGGGGTATAAAGTTTTTGCTTATTTTCTTTTGTTGACAACTAGGCAGGTATGGCAATACCATTTATTAACTAGTGTGCAACCCTATTCTTGTTGTGCAAATGCAGTGAATTTAACTGAAACAAAATAAGTGAAATAAAGCTTTATTTGCAATAAATACTAAAAAATTGATATACAAAAACGTTATAGTGAAGTGTTAGTAAGTGAAAAGTGCATAATATAAGKGAAAAAGTTATTCACAATAAACAAATTATCAATTTAAAAGTTGTAAATTTTTTAACTTTTAACGCAAGTATCTTTAAAACTATTAGTCAGCGGCAACTATATATATATATTTTCGTGATCTGGAGAACGTCACCTTTCCAATGATACATCGGTGATTGTCTGGTGCTTCTTGGCGGCGTGCTGTTGATTATTTGCTGCATACGATCCACGTGCTTATACCAGTTTCCAGAACTCTCGTTTCCCAACTTAGTTATCATCGGAATAATAATCTGGTGCATGCGCTCTACACGTCCGTTTGCTCGTGGCACTCCCGTAGCTATTAATAAATGCTGGATTTCCTCATCCTCCCAGTACTGTTTAAATAAATTCGACGTAAAGGTCGCGCCTCTGTCTGTTATGACACGTCTTTTATTTCCGAAAACCGCTACTCTTTTC